TCTGAAATTCAAAATCGCATAGATAACACGGGATTCGTTTGTTCGATGTTGCACGGCGATTATGCTTCACTGTAAGATGATAAGCAAACGTGAAGAGTGATGAGAACGGTTGCTTTTCCTTGCAGTCACTGTGTGAGCAACTAAGCGAGCTCAGATCGACCACCATTGTTTGATATTTGCCTATGCGTTCCAAAATTTTAAGCTGCAATTTGATTTTCTTTTCTCTCAATTTCAACTTCTCTAGAATACGAAGAATAAAACAAAAAATACTTCTTCCGATTCAATTTTTCGAGCGATACCATTCTTTGAGCTATCATCTTTGAGATTACAATCTAAAGACATTTCTCGATAACGACTTGAACTATCCTGTGGAATAAAAACGCGATCCGGCGGTATTGTATCTACCAGCGCATGTGGGATTGATTCCATAATCTATAAAGTACTTAATGCATTCAAATTTTATTCCATTACTCCTCTTAAAAATCTTAAACTTATAAAGTTAAGAAAAGAAACTGCAAAGAATTACCTGTTGCCCTTCTACAAACGTTGTTGTTGTCATATCACGTGAAATACGGGGTGATGTATGTAATTCCAATTTGTGCTATAAACAAATTCGTAAAACAATGAGATTCGTCTAAAGACTGGCAAGCATTTCCCTCTCTTTTTCATCTTTTTTCATATATATATATAGTACTACAATGAGTAAAAAACGGTTCAAGTAGTCGCTACAAATGAACTAACTTCCGAATTTTGTTGTGGTAAAGTACAATGTTTCGTGTGTTTGTTGACAACGTCGATAACGTTTGTTCGCTTAAGAATGATTTTGGCACGTTTTGGAGACTGTGAGTCAGTTTTCGTGTCGAAGGATGTCCCTGTCTCTCCTTTGTTTTGTTGCTGTGATAATGCTCTTTCTTTTTTAGCATGATCGTCGTTTTCAGGTTCTGAAATATATCTTTTTACTGTACCTATATTTTTTTCCCATATTCGACAACAAATATAACTGCGGAGAGATGGCATGGCTAAAAAATTCTTACTATGAGAAGTTATTCCAATTGCTAATGACTATAATGCTGCAATAGACACCCATCCACTTCTTTAAGTTGAAATAACTCTCCGTGACTTTTGAAATAAATGATACTTGTTTTGAAAAACTGCCTGCCTGTATGTGCTTTCTCAGTAAAATCTGGAGTCACAGCACTGTATGATAATGCAGCAGTCGAATATATTGGATGGCAATAGATACGTTTATGCGTCAAAAGATCCAAATGATTGAGAAAAAAATTGCCGCAGCAACTGTAATTAAAAATTAAAATTTCCATTCTACCATTATTTAAAAAAATTAGAAAGGAAGTTCACACAATACAATTCGCAAATATATTTAACCATTGATGGGAAGGTTGCAAAACTTTGGAAACATCTTAAAACAAAGACAAAAGTGAACTCACCAACATTCGAAATGGATTTTGCATTCTTTTGACAACAACTTTTTTTCCTCATCGGTGGAATTATTGTATATGTTTATCAGACTAATAACACTATCTGATTCTCGGTTTGCATTTAAATGGCATCGAAAGTTCAAATCACCAACACTTTGAGCCATTTCCCTTTATTTTAGTGAAATCATTAATATCACGGAAGACAACAAAACAACATTCTCATAAACATCTCATAAATTTTATTGCTAACAAATGCTTATTTGATTCTGAATAATTTATCCAACAAAATTTTGTTGTATTTATTTGTATCGATTACTTTCTTTTCTTTCTCTGCCATTTTGCAACTACTTTACTACTCTCCGCAAATTATCAAAACACCGATAACAAAGATGTATGCTGGGTTATCGCGGTTTCACGTTGATATATACGATCGACTTACCGTATATCGGTTTCAGTGATCGGGATCTGTACTTTTTCAAATATTCGGAAAAGGCGAGCAAAGTCAGGGAAGTAAGAATGAATTTGATTTCAGAAAATCGCAAGAGAAAGTAAATGCCCTCTTGTTCGCCGAAAGGAAAGTAAACAATGCCCTGCAATGAGAAAAGTGTTAATACGAACAAAAGTTAAGGGCAGGATAAGAAGGAATGTATAACAGCATTCAGGACAAATTCTGGAAATAGAAGAGTTTAGGAATTTAGAGACCGTACGCCAGATACGGCTACACATAGTTGGATGTTGCGTAACAAGCCATTATTCTGCAAGCAATAAAATATTTGAAGTACTCGACGGTATCTTATGTTACCGAGAATGATAATTCTACGTGACAGTTACAGGAGTTAAGCTGGGGAAACCATCATGAAACAATTTTCTTGCGACTTAGCAAAAGAAAAGTTTACTTGAAACCTGGAACTTAAGAATTGAAATATTAATTAATTCTAAAATTAGAAGGCCAATCAATCGTAGTAATCAGTAGTAATCAGTACCTTTGGATTTTTAGCTTTGATATCATTCTAACTGAAGCTAACTTATCCTTTAAAAGACTAGCCTTCTCACCCTTAACTCTCTCGAAACAACAGGTAAACGATGGTAAAAAAATTATGTTGCTTTGAAGCTGCAGTAAGTCATAAAGTAAGAAAATTCAAATTTGCGCAATTATCGCGAATCTTGAAATGTCCAAAAAAGTCAATACTTTTTGTACCGGTATCTCCCCGCTACGGTATTTGCTTCACATCTTGTTCGAATGAAGGCTTTGGATTTTGTATTACTCGTTGAAGTTTAGCGATTTTCGAGAGAGATTAAATTGAAATGATAACTGGAGAACAGATTGATTTAATCGTATACTAATATTCCAGAATACAAAATAAAGCATGAACTGATACGGTAAAGGAAAGTACTCAACGAATCAGTTAAATATATAA